CAATATTTTAGTGTCTGGCCCCTGTGACCCCAGTAGAGATGCGCGGATGGGCCATTTTTTCATCCGCAACCGCGACACAAAACTCATCATCCGCCCGCTGTCCATTTTGCACCGAAGGTTTTCAAAACCGCACCCGCCCGCCATCCGCCGATTGATTTTAGATTTTAGAACAATCAAATAGCAAACAAACTAAGGAGCCTCGATAAAAATGCAAACTCTATAGCTCATTCATTCCAAAATTGGCTCAGCATGTATGTTCGCATTCTTAATTGTCCGCAACAACCCCAAACTTACCTGGTTTTCTTGCGCAGCTGATTAATTGACAACGTTTTCCGACTAGGTTATTTTTGAACCTTCTTGCCTTCGTGTTGGATGTTGTTACCTTCTGAACATTCTGCCATTGCCCGATGTTATTTCAAAGTCATAGCCTCACTCCATCGGTCTTTCTTTAAGTTTTAAATCCCCCGAGTGGCAGTTTACGCTATAATGTCTGCGTGTTGTAAAATATATCTGATATCGAAACAAAATAGACAGATCATCTCATCCAGATGAACCTTTATTGAAATCAGGCAATGCCCTCTTTATATTCCAACTGAAATAGGCAAGAAAAAATATGCATAACTAAATAAATACGGCCCTATAGCCACTTATGTGTTGGCAAACAGCTGAAATAAATTAGAAATAATAAAATAAACTGCATATAATATGTGCCTCGTAAACCTTAGGCATCAATAACCCGACACAACCTGAACCTTCAGAACATAAAAACGAGGTCAAATGGGCTAATTAAGGACATGACGTACACTTCATACTACAAGCATAGACAGAGACTCGTCTTTTCAGATGTAGGTAACAATACTAACAATAACTTTTTTTTTTTTGTTTTTGTTTTTTTTTTTGTAGTTAAACCGCCACCCGCCCGAATGTAATTAAAATATAATTTTTCGTCACGTCATCCGCCCTAGACCCCAGCCCTTGGGACAACGGATGGAAATCAGCCTTAGACTACAATCCGGTGTGTTTAGATTCATGTTGTCATGTTTGTCCATTAACATGCTCTGTCCCAATCAAATAAATAAATAAATGTCTCAAACTTCAGTAGCTGAACGTCCACTCATACCTGACTGACAGACCTAGCCCCGCCCCCGAAAGAGTCTGAAATCTGCTGAAATCCTCCAAGACACTGACATGATACAGACAGAACAGAGACTCTTTCTGCAGGAGACATGTGCAGTAGAGCGCGGGGAGAGACGGGGTGATGCGTCGAGGAAGACGCTCGTTTGTGATTGTGTTTTGAACAGTTATTTTGCGCTTCATACACACACCCTCCTCATGGAAAACACACGAAGAAATACAGATGATGCAGCTTTCAAGTTAAAGGCGACTGATGTGACTGTTGAAGAAGGAAACAGATCTGCTGCACGTGAAATCAACATTAATGAGTCGATGGTGAGATTTTGGACGACGGCAGCGTGAAGAACTGACTCAATGCAAAAAGATGACAAAAACTTTCAGAGGCGATAAAAGCAGACGGCCCAAACTGAAAACGTTCTTAAAGACGTGGACACCTGTGGCTTATATTCACTGTTGGGCAAGTTACTTTGAAACTGTAATGTGTTATTTATTACCTATTACTGTCATTTCAAAGTAATTCATTACATTACAATATTACTGCATTTAAAATGTAAGGCATTACATTACTATTGCATTACTTTAAGTTAGTCTCACCAAAATAACTTTTGCGCTGTATATGGACTAAACCAGAGCTGAACCAGGACTAAACCAGAAGTGAACTAGGACTAAACTAGAAACGAACTAGACAAAACAGGACTCACTGTCAGACGGCTCGAAGTGACCGCAGGAGAAAGGAGCGGCTCTGCCTCCGCACCTCACGGAGGTAAGAGCGGCTGTTATCTGATCGCTCTTTATGGACCCTGCTGCTCGGGTCGCGGCCCTGATTTCAGCAACTATTTGCGGGTACAAAACCCGGTGCAAAACTCTGCTACAGCACGTAACTTCTACCTTCCTTCATCGTGTCCAGAAGTCCAACTTTTTGTGTGATGGTTCATTGTCCTCTGTCTTTTGGGTGCGAGTACAGGAGCCTTTGTCGGTGCAGAACGTTTCGTCGACGTTGTGGGTTTTCGTTGGGTAGAAAACTTGCAAACATGCAGCACTTCAGAAATCACACTGCTAGAGATTGAACATGTATTTAAATTTGGCAGCTGAACACATTCCTGTACTGTACAGGAGACAGGAGTCCCTTGGCCAGTCAGGACGCAGAGGGAGGAACGCAATACGTTCATAACAATGTAAAAAAAAAAAAAACAGGGCATGCAAAATTGCAAAAAAATAAAAATCTGCGAGACAGCGAAAAATGAACTGCGATAGAGGAGGGACGAGTGTAAACAGGTCTAAACCAGAAACTGACCCAGGTCAAACCAGGTCTAAACAGCGTGGAGTTCTTTGTCAGTCCTTTCGCCCGCGGTTAACTGAAGGTCAGGGCGCATCTCCGGCGTTTCACCGCTGCTGATATCGAGGTGATTTTAGCGAATTTGTATGAAGAAAAACCCACCTCTTCAATCCAGGTTAAAAAACACTGTAATGCGCGTTAACATTTGTACCGAGTAAATATTACTATTTTTCCCTGTAATGCCTTACATTACTGGTTCAGCAAAAAGTAATGGTCGTTACTTTTATAACGACAGGAGCGCTCAATAGTCCCCCTTTGATTTAACATTAGACTCTGTGAAAATCCATAGAGATGCGACGCCACATCCCGACCTCCCCGTCTGTCTGAGAGGAGACTGACAGATTTAATGCCATACTGTGGAACACTCCAGACAAAGCGACAACATCTCCTCGGTGACAAGCCCGGTTTATGTTCCTGTCAGCTTCTTTCACATCGAGACAAATGTGCATTGTTAAGGACGCTGTTAAGATAAAAATAGAGTGTTCTGGTCGGACTCCAGTAATGAGACGCAGCCAGACTTCTTTATGTCAGACTCTTGAAGCGTCTGATGGAGGAAACAGCCCCGTGTTTATTCTGGGCAGCGCAATATTCCCCTTTCAAGTAGAATTATGTAAGCTCCAAACTCAGACAAAAAGACATGAAGGGTTCTGTTTAGCTTTTCAGTCTGTGTTCACGCTCGTCCCGACTTGATCCTGGTTTAGTTCTTGTATATATGTTGTCAAAAGTTTAAAAAATCAGATACTAATCGACTCTGAAACTCATTTTTCGCAGGTATTGATACTAAAAAAGTCCCATTCGCAGGACAGAAATGAACCTTTCCTGAATCTGTAGAAGTCCTCATATAGACTTGGTTTGGTCCTGCTCCAGTCCTGGTTGAGTCTTGGTCTAGTCCAGGTTTAGTTCTGGGTTTAGTTACAGTTTTGTTCCAATTGGTGTTGTTCAGTTGACATCACAAAATTCTAAAATCTTAACTTAACTTTACGTAACTTAACTGAACTTAACTTAAAGGGCCCATCTCATGCAAAATAACTCTTTTCACATTGTATCTTCTGCACATAAACAAGCACAATTTGGGTTTTGGAACATCCATTACACAATAGTTATGAAATCTTACTGATTTCTTGGAGACAGTCACAGACCAGGAACTGTGAAAGACCGACTATTGCTCATCCCCCGCCCGTCCTGAGAAAGCACAGGCTCCGCCCTCCAAACGTGACGTAGGCTCTGAGTGAGCCGCCCTTCCTCCGCCATCTCAGGGAGGGAGGGGGAGACAGACGTGACCCTGATAGTGGCAGGAATAAACTTTTATTCATCATGTTATTCAGCCGCATGTGTTGGACCCAGAATCGGACGAGGACTTTGAGGAGCACGAAGCTCAAGCACCGCGTCCACATCAGATGAACATTACTGATTGGTAAAGTTTTAATAAACTCTAGTAGATAAACTTATTATATCGTGTTCACTGCAGAGTAGAACAATGAGCTTATGCTGTCGCTTTTTTTTAGGTGTTCATGTGGGAATTGTCAGTCAATGCGGGGTGGAGGCGGTGGAGCGGAGGAGGGTGGCGGGTGTGAAGCGCTGTCTGCTACGTCAAACGCGTCATAGGTGTATCTGCTGCGTCATCGTTGTAGCAGCTTTAGGTCGTTGTCACATGGGAGGGTGGCAGAAATACGCTGCAATTTGTTTAAAAAACACAGAATCAATCTAAAAAAACACTTCGGCGACAAATACAAGGCCCACACATCACTCTTAGAAGTTAGAAAGCTCTGAAAATTTGATTTTGCATGAGATGGGCCCTTTAACTTTACTTTACCTTTACTTTTACTCATTGGTTTTGTTCATTCGACATCACAAAATTCTAAAATCTTAACTTTACTTAACTTAACTTTACTTTTAATTTTACTTTTACTGTTACTTTTACCAGTTGGTTTTGTTCATTCGACATCACAAAATTCTAAAATCTTTACTTTACTTAAACTTCACTAAACTTTACATTAACTTTATTTTTACCAGTTGGTTTTGTTCATTCGACATCATAAAATTCTAAAATCTTTGCTTTTACTTTACATTTACTTTACGTTTACTTTAATTTTAACTTTAATTTAATTTTACTTTTACTTCACCTTTACTTTTTCTTCACTTAACTTTTACTTTGCTTTTATTTGACATTTATTTTACCTTTACTTTGACTTTACTTTCGCTTTTTCTTTCCATGTAATCCTGCAAATCCACCTTCAGAAAGTCGCACACTGCAGCTTTAATTTACACATTTGTTTATTTACGTTTTCCTCACGTACATAAACAAATCAAACCACATGTACCAGAGCTTTTTAAAAACGTCCTCGCAGGTACAACATGTTCCTGAGTGCTGCGGTAAATAAACAAATGCTCTGAGATGCGTTCAGTAAATTACAAACATTACGTAACCTTATGTCCTGTGCATCGTAATGAACAATTAAACACGATTAAAGCTGAGAACGAGCGGACGTGTGTGTACGTTAATGAACAGAAGGGTTAGAAACGCTTTTGATTATGGCAACGGTTCAGGTGTTGCTTCCTCTGCGTCGTGGATTTGAAGGACCTCCGCCTCTCCAATTTTATCTGCGGGAAAAAATGGAAAAATTACGTAAGTCGTAGGTAAAAATAAACACAACTTTCGCGTTCTTAAAGGGCCCGTGTCACGCTATTTTCTGATTTGTGTTATTTATAATGTAGTTTCCTCGTCACAAACAGACCTGGAGTTGTGTTTTGTTTCATTCGCACATGTTTAACACAAAATGGTTTTAAATTCCAGGCATTTTCACTAGAATCATTTGGATATTTTCAGTCCTGGAAGTGTCAATCTCCACTGAACTAAAGGTAAAAGGAGCTGTTAAATTAAAAACAACCGAAAACACAACTCCAGGTGTGTTAAAGAGAAGATAAGAACATTTTAGAGCTGCTCGATTATGGAAAAAATCATTATCACGATTATTTTGATCAATATTGAAATCACAATTATTCAAACGATTATTTTTTTAGTTACACGACGCATTTATTCAGCATTTCTCTCTCAAAAAAACACTTTGTTATTGATAATTTACGCCAAACTTTAAACTGAAAATAAATTTAGGCTACAAATATGAACCTTTGAGCAGTTTTGCAATGTATAAGACATAAAATGAATAAAATATACTTATGAACATGAAATAAGGCAAAGAAAAACATAAGTGTATCCAAAATAAACTAAATATCCGCTGTTCGACAATCTCTATTTTTAAAAACTCGATTTCAACTCGATTATATGAGTTTAGAGATTGTTTGACATGCAAATCGAAATCACAATCAAAAATAGATTAATTTCACAGACTTACAGCACTGAGTAATATAAAACCTTTAAGTAATATTTTGAATTTAATTGTTCTTGTAAGCAAAATTGACTTATGTATTTTTGACGCATCCTTTACACCACTACTGTTAAACCTGCTGTAGTTTTAAAGCTCCAATATTACGTAAAAGTGACTCTTTTGATCTTTAAGTCCTGTTATTATGTTGTTACCTCAAAAACAGACCTGGAGTTGTGTTTTGTTTCATTCACACATGTTTGAGTGTCTCTTTATTATTCGTCTGTAGTGGTGTAATGGTACAAATACCGTATTTTCCGGGCTATTTGGTGCTCTGGATTATAAGATGCACTGTCATTAAAGGTTGTATAGAGGGTTTTTTTTAAGGGAAGAGAAATACAGCGACAGTCCTTGTGCGCATTCAGAATTACTGTTGAAGTTTCCTGTCTAGAAGTAATTCAGCGACCGACGCGTCAGTTTTTAGACCCTTCGTCTTCTTCGGTCGCGCCATCGCTGGACGAGATCTCCAAGAATCACCTCAGTTTGGCTTTGCTCCTTTTCCTCTTCTCTTCTTCTTTCAGCGACCTCAAAAACTGACTTTCTTTTGCGGCGAACCGGTCGTGGATTCTCGTCCGCCGTCGCGACAAACTTTGTGCGAAATGCGAGGAAGCGACAGTTCGAAAAAGCCTCTAAGAACCGCTGCGTAAACCACGAAATCCCCGACGCTCCGACGAGTCAGTTATACTAGGGAGTTTGATTGACAACCTAACAGCCAATAGAAAATGAGGGAGCCTCGTTTTCTATTGGCTGATGTTTATCTGGCCTCAACACGTCCACAGTTGATAGATTTTTGTTCTTTTTTTTTTGTCATCATAATTACAAAGCTGCTGCGTCTCTGTAATGGTATTTTAATCTTTCACTGACAGTTTGAAACTAAAAAAAATCCTCCATACAACCTTTAAATGGTGTGTTTTCGAACTCAGTGACTCAGTTGTTCAGTCGTGTCTAGAAGCGGCACATTGCGCTCGCTTTTTCGGTTCGTTCCTCCGTTCCGTTCCTCGTCGGCGTGGAGTGATGAGTGTGTCTGTGGGTGTGTTTCTCTGTGCGGTCGCTGTCTGCTCCCTGTGTGTTTGTGTGTGTTCTGCGGGTGGTGCGGCTTTGTAGTTTACTGAAGTTGTGCTGGGACACCGAGTGGATTCGTGTATGGGGCGCTCTGGCTTGTGGCGCGCTCTCGTTTTTTGATGGGGTTGGAGGCTTAAGAGCGCGGCCTATAGTACGGAAAATACGGTGTTCGTGCTGAACAGTTTCAGTACGAGATGTTTGGTTCAGTGCAGGTGCACGAGTGAGTTTGCGCAATTTGTGTGAGTTTACATTCCACCACTACATGTGCAGCTACACAGAGACTCGGCTCTTTAATATTCACAAGGAAACTCGTCCGTGATTGTGGTGTCAGTGTTTCCCGCAGCGCTTTATAGTTAGAGCAGCCACCTTCACAAGAATTGCCCCCCGACTTGACTACGTCCCTCTGAACCACGTGAATCGTCACAAAACTACAGATGTTGCACCCGGGTCCTCACTTTCGCCGGCACGGAATCTCCACAAAAGTGTATTTTCAGTCGCTGGAGACAGTGTAACTGCAGCAGATCTGCACTTACACTTTACAGACAATCTGGACAAGTTGTTTTTTCTGGCCAAAAATCTGAAGATTGAGTAAAACTTGATGCTGGAACTGTTAGTGCTGCTCTTTACTTTTTGAAAAGTTTTGTTTACTGTTTACAAGGAATTTATTAATTTTTTAAAATAATATTTCATACTTTTGTTGCTTATTTGAGGATATTTTATTTAACTTATTAGTATTTCCAAGCAGCACTTTGCATTTATTTTATTTTCCCATTTGTATAATGTTAAAACAAATTTTTGGTTTAATAAAAATTGAAATGGTTTTGCATTTTGTTTCCAAACTGTACCGAAAATGAACCAAACCATAACCTTAAAACTGAACCATGATTTTTGTGAACCGTTACACGTCTGTTCATCCGTCTACATCTCAAAATGCTCTGTTCCACCTTGTGATGTCATGAAGCGGTAGTTTTCAAGTGAACTGCTCCTTTTACCTTCAGTTCAGTGGAGATCGACAATTCCAGATCTGAAATTGTGGTTTCTGGTGAAGGTGTATGAAGTTTAAAAACACAGTGGAGCACTTCCTGTACTACCACATGACATCACGAGGTGCAACGGCGCATTTTCAGTTTCAGTTTGCGTGTTAAACAAAAACAAAACACAACTCCGGGTCTGTTTGTGACGAGGAAACAACAAAAGTGCGTACGTTTTTCTATTCACCCCTTGGTCTGATTGTTCCGTTGTTGTGTCCTTAAGCAAGACACTTCACCCCGCTTGCCAAGGATTGTGTAATAATTTGTTCTCACCGTTAATGTTCCTATTTCTGGTCACACTTCGCGCTCCAATTTCCTGTTCTCTTAGAAGATAAGAGCTCGTTTGGACCATTATGTGAACATGTCTCTCTGTGAATAGAGACTAATTGACCTTTATTTGGTCTCGGGATTTTCCGTCGCCGACACAGAAGTTTTTGCCTCCATTAGCAGAGATTCTACTATTTTTGTGCGAAAAGGACGGATTTACAGTTACACACGGAGTTTAAGCAGGAAAAGGTGACATTAGTGTAGAATATGAGTAGAATAACTTTTATTGTAAGAATATTAAGTCAAGGCATTTCTATAAAAGCACAAAGTCCTGGTTTAGTCTGAGTTTAGTCCTGGTTTAGTCTGAGTTTAGTCCTGGTTTTGTATTGGTTTAGATCTGGTTTAATCCTTGTTCAGTCCTGGTTCAGATCTTGTTTAGTCCTGGTTTAGATCTGGTTTAGGCCTGGTTCAGTCCTGATTAAGTCCTGGTTTAGTTGTTGTTTAGACCTTGTTTAGTCCTGGTTTAGTCCTAGTTTAATTCTGGTTTAGTCCTGGTTTTGTATTGGTTTAGATCTGGTTTAATCCTTGTTCAGTCCTGGTTTAGACCTGGTTTAGTCCTGGTTTAGTCCTGGTTTAGACCTGGTTTAGTCCTGGTTTAGTCCGAGTTTAGTTCTGGTTTAGTTCTGGTTTTGTATTGGTTTAGATCTGGTTTAATCCTTGTTCAGTCCTGGTTTAGACCTGGTTTAGTCCTGGTTTAGTCTAGGTTCAGATCTTGTTTAGTCCTGGTTTAGATCTGGTTTAGGCTTGGTTCAGTCCTGATTAAGTCCTGGTTTAGTTGTTGTTTAGTCCTTGTTTATTCCTGGTTTAGTCCGAGTTTAATCCTAGTTTAATTCTGGTTTAGTCCTGGTTTTGTATTGGTTTAGATCTGGTTTAATCCTTGTTCAGTCCTGGATTAGACCTGGTTTAGCCCACTCAATTCCTAGTTTAATCCCATTTTAGCTCTGGTTCAGTCCTGGTTTAGACCTGGTTTAGATGTGGGTCAGTTCTGGTTTAGTTCTGGTTTAGTCCTGGTTTAGTCCGAGTTTGTTCTGTTTTAGTCCTGTTTAATTCTGGTTTAGTCCTGGTTTTGTATTGGTTTAGACCTGGTTTAATCCTGGTTTAGATCTGATTTAGTCCTAGTTTAGTCCTGGTTTTGTCCTGGTTTAGTCCTGGTTCAGTCCTGGTTTATCTGTTTTAGTCCTGGTTTTGTCTTGGTTTAGTCCTAGTTTAATTCTGGTTTAATCCTGCTTTAGTCCGTGTTTAGTCCTTAATTTAGACTTGGTTTAGTTCTGGTTTAGTTCTGCCTTAGTCCAGATTTAGTCCTGGTTTAGCCCATTCAATTCCTAGTTTAGTCCCATTTTAGTCCCATTTTAGTTCTGGTTCAGTCCAGGTTTAGTCCTGGTTTAGTTTTTAGTTCAATCCTGGTTCAGTCCTGGTTTAGTCCTGGTTTAGTCTAGGTTTAATTCTGATTTAGTCCTGATTTAGATTTTGTTTAGATATGGTTTAGTCCTGGTTTAGTCCTGGTTTAGTCTGGTTTAGCCTTGGTTCAGTCTTGGTTTAATCCTGGATTGCTTCTGGGTTAGTCCTGGTTTAATCCTGGTTCAGTCCTGGTTCAGATCTTGTTTAGTCCTGGTTTAGATGTGGTTTAGTCCTGGTTTTGTCCTGGTTTAGTCCTGGTTCAGTCCTGGTTTAGATCTGTTTTAGTCCTGGTTTTGTCTTGGTTTAGTCCTGGTTCATTTCTGGTTTAATCCTGCTTTAGTCTGTGTTTAGTCCTTAAATTAGACTTGGTTTAGTTCTGGTTTAGTCTGCTTTAGTCCAGGTTTAGTCCTGGTTTAGCCCATTCAATTCCTAGTTTAGTCCCATTTTAGTTCTGGTTCAGTCCTGGTTTAGTCCTGGTTTAGATCTGGTTTAGTCCTGGTTTAGTCTAGGTTTAATTCTGATTTAGTCCTGATTTAGATTTTGTTTAGATGTGGGTTAGTCCTGGTTTAATCCTGGTTCAGTCCTGGTTCAGATCTTGTTTAGTCCTGGTTTAGATGTGGTTTAGTCCTTGTTTAGTCCTGGTTTAGATGTGGTTTAGTCCTTGTTTAGTCCTGGTTTAGATGTGGTTTAGTCCTTGTTTAGTCCTGGTTTAGTTTCTTTCTTAGTTTAATCCCATGAGGCTCTGTTAGGTTTAGTTCTGGCCCAGACCTATTTTTTATTGTAACAGCTTTTCCTTCTTGTGTAGCCGTCTCCTCCTCGTTTCCATGGAGACGTTATTAAGTTCCACAGTGCAGCTTTATAATTAGACCAGACTCCAGACTCCGTAACATCAGAAATATCGGCTCTTACCGGGTTTTTCGTGCGCTGGAGTGGAGTTTTTTTGCAGTTTTCTCTCGGGGCTGCGCAGAGGTGAAGAGGGTCAGACAAGTTTGGAATCGAATAAATATTTGAATTTAGTATAATTCACGCAGGACTTTTGAAAGTGAAAGAGTTTAAACCTGAGTCCGTGCTGCAGTCTCCACGTCGGGTCTGTGGAGGGGTTGTACTGCGGAGGGAGGTGCGGGTACAGCCGGAGGTCCGGGTTCTGGAGGTCCGTCCCCTCTAGAGCCTGTTTAATCATCCCCATCACCAAGTCTTTCTCTGAGGAAGAAAAGTGACAAGTTTAATGCAAAAATTATAACACGGAAGTTTTTAGTGTTTAGTGGTGGTGTATGTCAAAGCTTTAATAGACGCAGCAAGAATCTCAGACTTCCGATCACTGCGCAATCCATACTGGGAAGGATTTTCTGCAAAAAGTGAGCATCAAACCACCATGTTTGATTTCTCATTGGGTTGTGTCTATTGACAAAGTCGATCTTTTAAGTCTTTTGAACCATATCACTTTTGTTTCTGTTTCTGATATTGTTATATTTTAGTTTTGGGATTCGGACATCGTTAATTGTGTGGTTGTTGGATCCTAACAGCGGAAAACGACTCGAGAAATTTGTTTGCGAACTCCATAAATACAAAAGGGAATCAGATGTGTGTGACTGCAAACCTCCGTTCAAACTGTTGCCCTTCCCAACGGAACTGAAAAATGGTGAAAGGCGAAAGCGATGGGTAGTATTGATCCACAGGAAGATGAAAAAGGAAACCTTTGGCTGCCTAAATCATCCCGAGTTTACAGTGAACATTTTGTATTTGGAGCTCCATGAAAGCGGGATCCTGTTTGTTAATCGAGAGGTGCAGAAGACAAACAGACTGAGCTGCACTTTCTTGTTCTTGTGGTTTTACAGCAACATCACGTCTTGGTCTCTTTGCAGTGGAAGGTGTTTCTTGGTGAACAGTGCCTCTCGCTTTGGCGTTGACTTTTTAAATTCATAACCGAGACTGAGTGAGGGGTTTTGGGGTTTTGCTTTGATGGAACTCCACATACAAAATGTTCGCTGCAAACTCTGGATGATTTAGGCAGTCAAACATCACCTTTTTCATCCTTCCCATCAATCCTGCCCATCGCCTTCGCCTTTCACTATTTTTTATTCCGATGGGAAGGGAAACAGTTTGAAACAGAGGTTTGCAGTCACACACATCTGATTCCCTTTTGCATCTATGGAGTTCACAAACCAATTTCTTGAGTCGTTTTCCGCTGTTAGAATAACTTATTTTTATACCATTTTAAATGACTATATGAAATAAATGTAATATTTTATTATTTTTACAATTTTTTATTAATTAATAAATAGTTTTTAATTGCTAAATTATATATATATATATATATATATATATATATATATATATATATATTTATTTTTTTTTTTTATTTGTGTTACTTACAGTACATTTTACATCATCCACATTAAATCAGATTATATTTAAACATTCAAATGCCAGTTATCATTCAAATAATTTAATTATTTAATTTAGCTTTATTTAACATTTAAGAACTTAAATTTAATTTATTTACTAAGCCAACTGCATTTAAATCTAACTAAGGCTTCTCATTGTACTTATTTAAATTAAGCCCGTTTCTCGAGCAGTTTTCCTCTGTTAGGACCCAACAACCACATAATTATGATGTCTGAATCCCAAAACTAAAATATGACAATATCAGAACCAGAAACAAAAGTGATATGTTTCAAAAGACTAGAAAAGATCGACTTTAACAACAGACGCATCCCACCGGGAAAACAAACATGGAGGTTTGATGCTCACTTTTTCAGAAAATCCTTCCCAGTATCTTTATTTATTTATATTTTCATTTCGTTTGTTGTGATAATCTGTTAATTTTTCCATCCCTAATTTTGATGAAAATTCTAAAACTTTTCCAGCGACGATTCAGGATTTTGTCTGTAAAATTCTCGAACAAATACAACAAAACGAGTCTGACAAGCAAATTATAAACAGGAAAGAGACGAGAAGATAAATAAGAAGGACGACTCGTGCTTCTGGGGCTGAAGTTTGGAGATGGAAATGTCCTTAAAAAAAAAAAATCTGACAAATTCAACAGCTGCTTTTATACTTGAGTGTCCCTTTTTCAATTAACGTTCTCGTCGGCGGCAGACTGACAGATCTGCTATTCACAATTTTCTCTAGAGAGCAGAGCCACTGGTGCTCGAAAAGGTCAAAAAGGAGAAAAAAAAGCTAAACGAGTGGCCCTTTGTTAATATATGTACTACTTAAATATATATACTGTGTGGGTTCTATGGGTTCTGTGACCTGTGATTGAAAAGTCGCCCATAGTATTTGAACTCTTTCACAATCGTCTGCAATCTGATGTAAATGTCACGATGTATTGAGAAAAAAATAGAAAGAATGTGAAAAAAAAAAGCCTCTAGTCTCCAGTCGTTCAATAACAAATACACTGAATACACTTAGTTAATAGAAAATATTCTGAGATACAAACATGTTTCAGTTCTTTGGGTGGAAACGTGGCTATAACGAAATGAAAATAAAACTAATTTTTCTGGTGGAGGATCTGCCACCTGGAGATGTTAATGTTTTGCCAGAAATGTTCCACAGTACAGTATTACTATTTTGATGTTGTATTTACTCAGTTAGTCCATCCTTCCGTTTTCTTCTGCTCATCCAGGGCCGGGCCATGGGGGCAGCGGTCTGAGGGTCTGTTTACATGAGAACGTTTGCAGGTAAAAACGACAAAATATTTGATCAGAAGTGCCTTTTGTTTAGACGGTGATGGTGTTTTTGGGGCTTAAAAATGCAAAAATCTGAAAACAGCCTCCAGAGTGGAAAAGTTTTGAACACGCTTCCTGCCGTAGTGTTTCCATCTACACTGTCCAAGACGCAAAACTCTGGTCAGATCCACGGAGCCGCGTGGACATGCAAACCCAATCGAATTCCACACACTTTTGCGTCACCGTTTGCACTCAGATTTCCTCCTGAAAACGCTCGTCTAAACGCAGAGTAAAAAGTGAAGATGCAACATCCACTTTTGCATCTTTTGTTCAGACCGTCATCATATAAACGTAGCCTAAGCAGGGACTCCCAGACTTCCCCCACCCCAGACACTTCCTCCAGCTCCTCTGGGGGACCACTTGCATTCCCAGGTCAGTCCAGAGACATCGTCCCTCCAGCGTGTCCTTGGTCTTCCCCGGTGCCTCCTCCCAGTGGGTCAAGGCTGGAACACCTCCCTTGAGCCACCTCAACTGGCTCCTCTCGACGTGGAGGAGCAGCGGCTCTACTCCGAGCTCTTTCCATGTGACTGAGCTCCTCACCCGATCTCATTTCGGTCACTTGTATCCGTGATCTTCTCCTTTCGGTCATTACCCAAAGCTCATGACCACAGAGGTGGAACGTAGCTTGACAATAAATCGAGAGCTCGGGGTCTTGTTCACTCAGTTAGTTACAGGAATTAAACTCCATATTTGGTCTGGTGATGAACCTGGTTGTTTCCATGGAGACAGATAGGTGTTATGCCAGACCAGCTCTGTTCAGAGGGGTACACATGTCAATCTGGACACACAGGTTCATACTCTGGAACACAGCCACAAAACAGCACAAACGAAACTCAAGCGTTTCATATAATTTTCTGCCTGTTTTGAGGCTATTTAACATTTTGAGGGTCTGGATGACGTCATCGGCCGAAAACTAAAACTGCTAATATCTTAAGAACCATAATCACACAAATGAAGCACCAACGACTGAAACCATTTTGGGAGTTTTAGAGCATTTTGAAGTTTCCTGGGGGCTGACTGACCCCAATTTGACTTATAAAAGAATCGTTAATATCTCAAAAACTAAAGCAGCACAAAACAGCACAAACGACTGACATACACGACCGGTCAAAAGTTTTAGAACACCTCAATTTTTTTAGTTTTATACCTGTGTTACTGTTGACAAAAACATTCTAACCCTTTGATTGATGAATGTGTCCACCTTCGGCAGATAGAACAGCTGAACTCACTCGTGGCTCGTTCTTTTTACAATAAAAATCAAATATTGTTCAGAAAGTTCTTCCCAAGTCTGTTGCAGAAGTTTCCATAAATGTGTGGCACTTGTCGGTCGCTTCACTCTTCTGTCCAGTTCATCCCAAACCAGCTCGATGAGGTTTAAGTCTGGACACTGTGCTGCTGCTGGACACTCCAGGTTTTCAAGCTTTACCATCTTGTTCTTTTTTCCTGAGGTAGTTTTGTCAGAGCTTGGACTTGTGTTTTGTATCTTTTATCTTTTTTTTTTAACCTCTGTCTGTTCAGTTCTTACCTTTGTACCATTTCAAACTCTTCACTGGACTTTCACGACTTGTACTGCAATAAATAACTGGAAAAATTAGGGCCTTTCTAAAACTTTTGACCGGTAGCGTGTAGTTTTTGTGTAGGTCTGCGTCTGATGGGCGTCTTCTTGTGTCTATCGAACGTGCCCCGAGTCTCACCTCTTTGCCCGGCCAGGAGGAGCCACTGCTGCACAGTGGAGAGCGAGTCCGTCTGAAGGATCTGACAGAGCAGCTCCAGCACCTGAGCGCACAGAAACATACCGGATTATCAGCACCAGCACACGCAGCCTCACGCTCCGCTTCTTTTGTTTTTCAAAGCTCCCCGTCTCCCGCGTCCCTGTGTTAAACTGCGCTACTCTCGGCCCCCTGCTGGGCTCCTCGAACATCACATGTCCCCTCACGTTCAGACGTAGAGATATATCCAGTGTTGGGAAGGTGACTTTTAAAATGTATTCCCCTACAGATTACAGATTACATACAACAAAATGTAGTAATCCATTAAATTACTTAAAGTGAGTCATGTAATCTGAGTACTTTGATTACTTGATTTGCTGTAGAGAAGCAAAGACTCGAATATCTTCACATAAGATGTTTTGTCTGCTAAAAGAAAATAAAAAGCCCCGACTTTTCCTTAACCGTATTAAAAATATTATTGATAGAATGGTTTCGTCCTGTTAAATCCTGTTTTAGTCCTAGTTTAGATCTAGTTTAAGTCTGGTTTAGATCTAGTTTAGATCTGGTTTTAGATCTAGTTTAGACCTGGTTTTAGCCCTGTTTTAAGACCTGTTTTAGACCTGTTTTAGACCTGGTTTAGATCTAGTTTAGACCTGGTTTTAGCCCTGTTTTAGACCTGTTTTAGACCTGGTTTAGACCTGTTTAGACCTGGTTTAGTCCTGGTTTTAGACCTGGTTTAGTCCTGGTTTAGACCTGGTTTTAGCCCTGTTTTAGCCCTGTTTTAGTCCTGGTTTAGACCTGTTTTAGTTTCCTGGTTTAGACCTGGTTTAGACCTGGTTTTAGACCTGGTTTAGACCTGGTTTAGTCCTGGTTTAGACCTGGTTTAGACCTGGTTTACCTGGTTTAGACCTGGTTTAGTCCTGGTTTAGACCTGGTTTAGACCTGGTTTAGACCTGGTTTAGTCCTGGTTTAGATCTAGTTTAGACTTGGTTTTAGTCTTGGTTTTAGTCCTGGTTTAGTGTCCGGCAGTGAGTAGAATTACTAAAAAAAAAAAAAAGAAGGGATTTAGCCCAAAATGTGAAAACAGGACAATACCTCTGTGTAATCCATTTATTTCAACAAAGTAACTGTAATCCAATTACCACTCACTGAAACAGTAACTGTAACTGAATACAGTTACTCATCATTTGTACTCTGATTACATAACTCTGGTACATGTAATCTGTTACTCCCCAACACTGGATATATCTGAGGCGTTACTGCAGAAAATCAGGAATCTACAACTACTAGAAGTAAAAAGGAGCTTCACTTTGAATTATTACTTTTTGTTTCAGAATGTTTTACCGTCTTAAAAACGTGAAAAAACAAAACTAGTTCATTTTCAAACTTTTGCAGCGGTTATTCCTCACTCGTGCGTTCCGGTTTTCCTAATTACTCACGAGTTTATAAGCGCTTTTCTCAACTGGCATGCTGACTGCGCACTTCCTGATTCTCTGACGATAAAACAGAAACTAAAATGTAACACCTTACTGACTAAACCGGATAAAAAAAAGAAGTGAAGAATTGGAGTATAGCATCAGCCACAGTGTTCAGCTCCAGTCAAATGAAGCTCATCGAGGCTGCGGGTTATTGGAGCGGATTTAGAGCCAAGTTCCATATTTGGAATTCCGACCGCCAGTTTCATAGCAACCAAAGAGTCAGTCTGGAGCGACGCAGTTCAAGGTAGCGTCCGGTACCGTCCACGCCGCTGGTTTAGGAGCTCTTAACAACGCTGTCAATCAAACGAAATCAAAAGTTATTCAAGTTATTCAAGTTATTCAAGTTCATATCTTGATTTTTGGCTAAAATAGTGACATAAAAACACCAAGATCATGTAGGTCGGGTTAATACCAACATTTTAAGACCAAAATAATGAGGAATTACAGAGAGAAGGGTCACAGTTTTTCAATATTACAGAGTTTTTAGAAAATTTCAACATTTTATATGACTTTTTCATGACTAAAATGAATTTTCCATGACTTTTTCATGACCTAAAGTGAATTTTCCATGACTTTACAGCACCTACATGTGTAGAATTGATCAGACTTTTAGGGTTAAATGTGAAATGTTAAAACTTTCCACTCACCTTATGGTTTGGGATTGTAGTTTTTTAACATTCAAAATCCTGTCAGTGCATTTATTGTCGTCTCTTAAACAAAAGGCGCAGAGAACTTAACAGAACGCTGTAGTTGCGTGAAAGAGATACTAAAATTCCATGACTTTTCCAAAACTTTCATTGAATTTACAAAATCCCATGACTTTTCCAGGATTTCCATGACTGTGGAAACCCTGAAATTAACTGAATTAGAGCCAGAGTTAATGGAACCAGAGTATAGACTGTATATATAAATGAAAATGGCTAACATACTGTCCTCCGCATTCTGAAAAGGAAGTGAGCATGGACGTGCTTCTGGCTCCATCGACTCTGGCTCCAAATCACTTTGTATTGAAATAATTATCACACCTGTATCTGTAACTGCTGCTGTCAGACTCGTAATTTTGGTCTTAAAATGTTCGTATTAACCCGCTCTATATGACCCTGGACTTTCTATTTCACTATTTTCTGTCCGTAAATGAATTCCTATTCCTTGAAATTCCTGTAACAGCCTCGATGAGCTTCATTTGACTGGACCCGAACGCTGTGGTGACGTCAAACTCCTTTAGTCCACCTCTTTAAACAGTCTATAGTCTCTTACTTTTATCATGTTTAATCATTGAGTGTGTTTACATGCACATCAATAACCCGGTTATGATCGGGTTTTTTGAGTATCCCGGTTTCTTCATGGTGCATGTAAACGCAGTAACCCGGTTTCAGTAACCCGGTTATGGCAGTATCCCGGTTATTAGAAACCGGGTTACTGTAGCTGGTTTATTCCGATAGTAACCGGGTTACTTGTGGCATGTAAACGCAGTATCCCGGTTACTGCAACATAAAGTTGAGTGCGCATGTGTCCAAAAGACACTTTCCAGTCTTTCACCACAACAGTAGCGACATAAATAAATTGACCAACATAAATAAAGTGACCAAACGAGTGAAATGACTGTAAAATAAAGAGCTGCACTAAACCTGCACATGTACAATCTGCACTCGTACGACCTGCACTCGTGTGACGCTGAAAAGCTAAAACATGAACTATCTCCTATACAACACACGCACAGAACACACTTACCATCATTAACACCTCTTCTGTCACAGAAATAACACACATAATCCACAGAGTCGTGTCATTTAGTACAAAAGAAACTGATCACATCAGCGGCACAAGGAGCGAGTTGTTTTTTATCGCCGCTAACAGTTTATGCTAATTAGCCAAACGGTCTTAAGTTTCGTTTCTGTAAAACGTAAACAAATGTGATCAGAGCTGAATTATCTGATCAAACGGGCTGATGTGTCTATAGTGTTTATGGTTTATATGTTGTAAAGTTGAGTTTATTTATGCAGAAGATTTTAATGAAGAATCTGCACAGTGGATTGTGGGAGATCTCGTAGCTCCTTAGCTTCTTATGCTAAAGGAGCTCACGGTTTGTATTTTTCCTGGTTTATGAAATTGATTTAAGTTAATTTTTGCGCCTGCGCATTTGTAAGATTATGTCAAGAAACCGGGATACTCCATTTGATCATGTATACGCGGATATGAGTGTCCCGGTTTCTCAGTGCGCATGTAAACGCAGTAACACGAATACTGACATAACTGGGATATGGCTAATAACCGGGTTACTGATGTGCATGTATACGCACTCAATTTTAGTTTTAGTTTTATTGTCAGAGAGTCAGGAAGTGCAGTTAGCATGCTAGTCAGTTCTTCGTACAGCCCATGACGGGACTCTATACGCTCTGTACCATGAGCTCCTGGTCCTGCAGTAGTCCGTGGGGGCTGGCTTTGTGCTGGGAGCGGGTGTAGGACCTGCGCTGGGTGGACTTGGAGGACGGGGGGATGAGGCGCCCGGTCTGAGCCGAGTACTGGGTCTGTCTCCGGACCGGCTCCTCCTCCTCGTCCTCCTCGGGGCGGCGCTACGAACAGAACAGAGAAAGAAGTGGATTTATTATTGAAGACATGGATTCTACTGTGATGTTTTTTGAATGAGGCGTTGAAATCCTGCGACGGGAGATGACGCAGTCGAGTCTGAACGAAGCTGCGAGAGGGAAACTGACTCTTGAGAGGTTCAGGTCGGGTTATATCACTGTTACCTCCACAAAATCTGACCTGGACTTGTGTTTTAGAGACAGAAATAAACTTTGGGCTACGTTCAAGTTGCAGGGCTTAATCTCAATTTGGATTTTTTTTGTGAAATCTGATTTTTTTTGCGAGGTCGTTCACATTTCCAATTAAATGTGACTTGTTTAGGCCTGATTTTGGTCCTGGTTTTAGTTTTAGTTTAGTCCTGGTTAAATCCTGTTTAGTCCTGGTTAAATCCTGGATTAAACTTGGTTTTAGTCCTGACTTTAATCTGGGTTTAGACCTGGTTTTGTCCTGGTATAGTGCTGATTGTAGTTCTGGTTTAGATCTGGTTTTAGTCCTGGTTTAGTTTAGTTTAGTTTTGGATTAGTCCTGGTTAAATCCTGGATTAGACTTGGTTTTAGTCCTGATTTTAATCTGGTTTTAGTCCTGGTTTAGACCTGGTTTAGTCCTGATTTTAGTCCTGGTTTAAACCTGGTTTAGACTTGGTTTTAGTCCTGATTTTAATCTGGGTTTAGACCTGGTTTAGACCTGGTTTAGTCCTGGTTAAATCCTGGATTAGACTTGGTTTTAGTCCTGATTTTAATTTGGTTTTAGTCCTGGTTTAGACCTGGTTTAGTCCTGATTTTAGTCCTGGTTTAGACCTGGTTTAGACTTGGTTTTAGTCTTGGTTTTAGTTTTGGTTTAGTCCTGGTTAAATCCTGGTTTAGACTTGGTTTTAGTCCTGATTTTAATCTGGGTTTAGACCTGGTTTAGTCCTGGTTTAAATCCTGGTTTAGACTTGGTTTTAGTCCTGATTTTAATCTGGATTTAGACCTGGTTTAGACCTGGTTTTAGTCCTGGTTTAGGACTGGTTTGAACTTGATTTTAGTTCTGATTTTAGTCCTGGTTTAGTCCTGGTTTAGTCCTGGTTTAGTCCTGGTTTTGTCCTGGTTTAGTCCTGGTTTAGTCTGGGTTTAGTCCTGGTTTTGTCCTGGTTTAGTCCTGGTTTAGTCCTGGTTTTGTCCTGGTTTAGTCCTCATTTAGTTCTGGTTTAGTCCTGGTCTAGACCTGGTATAGATCTGGTTTAGTCCTGGTCTAGACCTGGTTTAGTTTCTGGTTTAGTCCTGGTTAGTCCTGGTTTAGTCCTGGTTTAGTCCTGGTTTAGTCCTGGTTTAGTCCTGGTTTTGTCCTGGTTTAGTCCTCATTTAGTTCTGGTTTAGTCCTGGTCTAGACCTGGTATAGACTTGGTTTTTAGTCCTCACACCACAGTTTGAGAAACACTGATATTTAAACCATCAGAAAACCACAACAGTGAGTTTAATTAAGTCAAGTTCAGTCGTTTAAATCAGCCACTGTCCAGAGATTTAAATGACCTTTTTACGGCGCTAATGAGTCTGGAGGAAAGACGTGAACTTTCCAACACGGACTAAGCACCAGTTTTTATTCTACTTTATCCTACTGGCCCAGTCAACTCAACCAGGTTTGTTTCAAAATTATGAACTTTCAAAACCACAAAACAGAGTAATCATTAATGTTGTAACGATATCGTCACGGTATGAACCTTACGGTACGATATTTATTGCGATATCGTGGGAAAGTTCACGATATGGTGGCAATGTAACAATATCCAAATCTCTCTGTACGATATTTTCACAATAAACATCTCACGATATGATATTTAACAAAACTGTTAATATTCTTTTTTTTCCTCTTAAAACACCTTGACAAGACTTAATCCAAAGAACTAAGACTTAAAAGTGTTTAGAACTGTTATTTCTTCTTGTCGTCTGCACTGAAATGGAGCAAAGGATCATGGTCTATGTAGTTCTCTGTCTTTTGTTTTAGCTGTTGCCGCACCATAACTCTTCATTTAAAGGTTGTATAGAGGATTTTCCATGGAACGAGTGACTGTTTGTCCTTTTTCAAATGTTGCGCATGCGTGAAACCCACACAGCTCCTACGTAGAAACGCCTCCTCCCTCCTCCTCCTTACGCCACAAACAGGTTTGTTTACAGCCGCATGACTTGTAAACAACTAACTACAGTGTTGGTTAGGCAAGACGGAGAAGTGAGGAGCGGGGGAGGGGGTGCGCGGATATTTTGTGTGTGGAAAAGAAGTGAGGAGCAGGGAGAAGAGCGGAGCGGGGAGAGAGGAGAGGAGCAGGAAGGGGTGCAGAGAAGGGTGCTACAACTACAACACGCAGCAGCAAGCGGACTCTTTCTTTGCCTTGAAAATTACGTTTTCAGACATAGGATATCGCATTCGTGTCCAGAAAAACTTTTGTGTAGCTCTTGGAAATAAAGTACGTTTTCATAATAAGCAGAAGTTTCCTGTCCAGGAGTAATTTGTGGACCAGTGCGTCAGTCTTTAGACCCTTTGTCTGCTTCAGTCGCGCCATCGCTGGAATGAATCTACAAGAATCACCTTAGTTTGGCTTCGCTGCTTTTCCCCTTGTCTTCTTCTTTCAGCGACCTCAAAAACGGACTTTCTTTTGCGGCTAACTGCTCCTGGATTCTTGTCGCCATTGCAACAAACTTTGTGCGAACTGCGAGGAAGATATAGGTCAAAAAAGCCGCTAAGAACCGTTGCGTTGGTGGAGTAAACAGCGTCTGTGCGTCTTGCGTCTGTGGACTGCGTGACAGTCGTACGTAAACCACGTACCGGCGGCGCAGGCAAGTCAGTTACGCTAGAAACGTAGGGAGATTGATTGACAGCCTGTCAGCTCACAGATAACGAGGCAGTGTCGTTATCTATTGGCAAATGTTTATCTGGCCCCACCACGTCCAGAGTTGATGAATTTTTATTCTCTTTTTTTTGGTCATCATAATTACAAGGCTACTGCATCTATAATCTATCATTGACAATTTGAAACAAAAAAAAATCCTCCATACAACCTTTAAGCAAAGAGACTTGTAATTCGATATATTGTGATGGTCGACTATATTATTGTGAGAACTTTGACGATACGATATCACGATATTTCGGTTATTGTTACATCCCAAAAGTATACATATATACACACACATACACACATGTACGAATAACTTTACTAACTGAAATGAAACATTACTCAGTGAAAAAACATCAACATCTTTAATCAGACTCAAAACAGGTTGTAAAACTTATCAGCACAGCCTCTTGTAGAAAGTTTGAGTTTCTCTAATGTTAGATGGGGTATAAAATCAACAAGTCACGATCTAAAGGTTTGAGGTTGTTTGTTTTTCCACTTAAGCAATATTATTCTTCAAGCCAGGAGTGTGACAAAGGTGATTATATTTTTTTTATATTTCTTATGGGAGTTTACAGATTATAACAATATCCCAAATATTGCAGTTGTGGCCCAACTCCATGTCTGTTTGAAGGACGCAAAACATTCTAATATGTCCAAAAGCTCAAAAGAGTCAGTTTATGTAATACGAGACCTTTAGAGCCCGTTTATACTAAAACGGATCCGCACATCGCCGTATCAGCGCACTGGAAACTATCTGCATTCACACATGTCGTTTCTGTATCCGTAATCAAAGCCTTCCCTGTCCACACGGTCACGCAAACCCGCCTGAAACGCTCGTCACGTGATCGGCTGGTGTCACCACGTCCCGATGTCACGTAAGCGGTAAAAACAAGGAAGTCTGAAGTTGCAGCAGCTGATTTGAGCTGAGGGAGATGGCAAGTGTAAAAACAGTCTTTTTGTGGATCAACGTGTCGACTGACTCGTTTCTGTGTCCGTAAGCCTTCCTCATCCACACAGCTTTGAGCATATTTGTTTACATTTTACAGAAACGAAACTTAAAACCACATGGCTCATTTGCGTAAACTGAGCTCTCAAAAAACCCAGTTCACTATTGTGTTGGACTGAAGGACTCGACTCAGTGGAATATGAGTGTTCTTTCTGTGACAGAGGGGGGTTCTGCTGATGGTGAGTCTGTTCTGTGTTTCTGTCGTTGGAGATGGTTCATGTTAAACTTTTCAGAGATTATACCCTAGCCCTGCCCCTACGTGAGGCAGACTCTACAGACTCTTTTAAAAAGCAGCTCAAGACGCTGCTCTTTAGACAAGCTTTTAGTTGACTGCGTCTGTAATTAATGTGTTCTTGTTTATGTTGTTTTTATGTTGTTTTTTGCTCTGTAAAGCACTTTGTGATTTTTTTTTTTAATCTGTGAAAGGTGCTATATAAATAAAGATTTACTTACTTACTTATACGTCTGCAGGTCGTACACACAGACCGTTTATATGAATGGACATATATTCCAGCCTCTAGGCTGCGTTCACACTGCAGCCTGAAGTGACCCAAATCTGATTTTTTGGCTTCTATGTTCCTGTATCTGATCTTTTAATGACAGTCTGAACGACACAGATCAGATTTTTCTCAAATGTGACCCAGGACACTTGGATATGTGCTCCTGAAACTGATACATATCTGATCTTTTGACATGTGACTTCAGTGTGAACGGTCAAAGTGCATTCATCCACCTACACGTTATCAACAAGACACAAACGTCACTATTCTGCACTGAAGTAGGCGAAAATTGTTAATGAACTCCGTGTCACTGAAGTGAAGCACATCACCACTCACCACTCTTGGCTCCGTCTCCACATCCACACGTTCCTTTAAACGGACGTCGCTGCCGCTGTCCCACAAAACACCACGACCAAAAACCTCGTCCTTCTCCTTCTCAATCTCCTCCTTAAAACAAGTAAGTTGTTCATGTTCTGGCTCCGGTACAAGAGGAACTTTAAAATCTCCAGGTGCTCGATGCTGCGTCCATGTTTGGACAACTTCCGTAAACACAGAGACGCTCACTGCGGTTGACGTCATCGTGTCTCCAGTGCACATGTGGGACACTTTCGGGCCGTTTAATGTTCACACAGGGGATCGAATACAAGTCACATTTAATTGTAAGTGTGAACGACCTCGCAAAAACATCGGATTTCACAAAAAAATAGGAATTGAGCGTTCAGCCCTGCAGTCTGAACGTAGCCTTAGTGTTTTGGCGGTGAATTTGCCTACTTTGCATACACTTACATCAGTGTATCAGTGTTTTCAGGCGTCCACATGGTGCCGGATCAGATCTGTACTCTGATGAATTTGTGGGAACTGGAGGCACCAGATCGCACCGTCTCTGGAGCCGTTTTCATTTGGATTAGTGTGAACGAACACTGCATCTGCAACGAAAACTATCCGAATACGGACCAGTGTGGACGGGGCCTTAATGACTTGATTATGATGATTCTGATTTCAAATAGTTTTCTTACTGTAGAGAATTTTGCTTGAGAGAAGAGACATTGTTTTGAAACTCATCAAAATCACCAGCAAAATGATTCAGATGTGAGACAAAAAGCGATTTCAGTCTGAACACTTCATCAAATCACGTTTTTCAATTCAAGTATTTAATTAAATCACGCTCTGTCGCCATAACAACCAATCCTGTCCAGCTGATGTTTTTTTTTTCTGCAGACTTGTTGCCAGAGCAGAGCGGTGAGTCTTATTAAAACAGGTGACAGAGTGAAGGTTACACAGACAGAAGCTCACCAGCCCCAGACTCAGACTCTGTGGGAAATCAGGCCAAACCTGCAGCTGCCTCATGTAGAAAAACACACTGAACCGACTGAAAACTAAGTCAAGTCTGAGACCTGCCAAAGCCAAAATGTGCCCAAAGTTTCAGAGAGTTAAAGAAGATGTTTTCAGAGTTTAATTTCAACCATTTCCAAGTCCAATCTCACAGTTACACCGTCAAATTTTAATCATACTGCTCCTACTTTATTTTGGCAATTTTAATGTAAAAAACTTAAGAAAATGAGTTGTTTTGGGTTCAAAAAAATAGTCCAAACTGCATGTGCTCCTTTCAGTGGCTGCTGCAAGTTCAAGTGCTACATGACATCACACAGAACTGCCCTGATTCAAAATTCTGTCTTTTAGGTTCACAAAAAGAGGATTTGTTGGTTCGTAGTGATTCACAGACTTAACAATCCAAAGTGATTCTGGAAATGTTCATTTTTGTCCATGTGACTTTATAAGTATCAGTACCTAAACTAACTTTGAACCAGGACTAAACCAGGACTAAACCAGGACTAAAATAGGACTAAATCGTGACTAAACCAGGATTAAACTAGTGCTAAACCAGGACTGAAACAGGACTAAACTCGTGACTAAAACAGGACTAAACCGTGGACTAAACCAGGATTAAACTAGTGCTAAACCAGGACTAAACTAGCGCTAAACCAGGATTAAACCAAGACTAAACCAGGACTAATCCAGGAAAAAAACAGGACTAATCCAGGACTAAACCAGAACTAAGACAGGACTAAAACAAGACTGAACCAAGACTAAACCAGGACTAAAACAGGACTGAACCAGGACTAAACCAGGAGTAAACCAGGACTAAATCAGGTCTAAACCAGGTCTAAACCAGGTCTAAACCAGGACTAAACCAAGACTAAAACAGGACTAAATTGTGACTAAACCAGGATTAAACTAAACCAGGACTAAACCAGGTCTAAAACAGGACTAAACCAGGACCAGGACTAAAGGTCTAAACCAGGACTAAAACTAAACCAGGTCTAAACTAGGTTTAAAACAGGACTAAACCAGGACTAAACCAGGACTAAACCAGGTCTAAACCAGGACTGAACATTTGACACTAATTTTCCACCCAAAGCATGAACATCTCCATGGAGGCAAAATGAAAAGTTCCACACTGCATCTTTAAGTCATTAACCTGAAATATCAAACTTGTGCTCAAAAGAACAGATAAAAACAAGCGCCTGAAAAACAAACTTTATAAATCTGAAATGCTGAACGTTTTGAGCTCATTGCCAACCTCTGCTGTGCATCCTCAACGTTTATTTATTTATTGTATTTATTTAGAGACTGAAGGCTGAAGTGCGGCTCTTTGTGTCGCTCGTGTATCGGTTTTTATGATCAATTTAAAACCTTCTCAAATAGTAAGAGACGGTTTCAGCGATGAATAAAACTTCCAAAAACTTTCTTTACCAATTTGGTTTTGCGTGAAGTTTAATTCACCTGATGTAGCACGAGTTCACCGGAAAACCTCGAGTCTGAAGGAGGATTTTTTCATTACAATTTTCCCTTTTTGGGAAAACTGAACCAGGACTAAATCGGGACTAAACTAGGACTAAAACAGGACTCAGCCAGGACTAAAGCAGAACTAAACCAGGTCTAAACCAGGACTAAATCAAGAATAAACTAGGACTAAAACAAGACTAAACCAGAACTAAACCAGGACAAAAACAGGACCAAACCAAGACTAAACTAGACCTAAACCAGGACTAAATTAGGACTAAACCAGGACTAACTAAAGGACTAAACAGGACTAAACCAGACTAAACCAGGACTAAACAGACTTAACCAGGACTAAACAGGACTAAACCAGGACTAAAAGGACTAAACTAGGACTAAACCAGGAACCAGGACTAAACCAGGACTAAACCAGGACTAAACAGGACTAAACAGGACTAAACCAGGACTAACCAGGTCTAAACCAGGACTAAACCAGGACTAAACCAGGACTAAATCAGGACTAAACTAGGACTAAAACAGACTAAACCAGGACTAAACCAGGACTAAACCAGGTCTAAACCAGGACTAAACCAGGACTAAACCAGGACTAAACAAGGACTAAACTAGGACTACAACAGGACTAAACCAGGTCTAAACCAGGTCTAAACCAGGACTAAACCAGGACTAAACAGGACTAAACTAGGACTAAACCAGGACTAAACCAGGACTAAACCAGGACTAAACCAGGTCTAAACTAGGACTAAGGACTAACAAACCAGGACTAAACAGGACTAAACCAGGACTAAACCAGGACTAAACCAGGACTAAACCAGGGCTAAACCAGGTCTAAACCAGGACTAAACCAGGACTAAATCAGGACTAAACCAGGACTAAACCAGGACTAAACCAATGCATTACATTTTCCCTGATTATTGCAGTTGATTTCATGAACGTTCTCTGGTGATGTGGCGCTAACCGAAGGCACTGCTCTGTTTGAAGCTCTGTAATGCTGCGTTTTATTGCGCTCGGGATTCTGGGAAAACCGACATCCACCTCGAAATTCTGTCTTTTAGCGTAACAAAAAGAGGATCTGTTGGTGCGTAGTGATTCACACAATTAACAATCCAAAGTGATTCAGGAAAGGTTCATGTTTGTCCTGTAAATATGACTTTTTTTAGTATCGATACCTGCGCAAATGAGGATCTACGTAGTATCGATTCTAGTTTTGGTGTCGACTGGTACAGGACTAAACCAGGACAGAACCAGGACTGAACCAGGACTAAACCAGGACTAAACCAGGTCTAAACCAGGTCTAAACCAGGGGGACAAACCCAGGACTGAAGCGGGACTAAACCAGTACTAAATCAGGTCTAAACGAGAACTAAATCAGGACTAAACTAAGACTAAACCAGGACTAAACTAGGACTAAAACAGGACTGAACCAGGACTAAACCAGGTCTAAACCAGGGGGACAAACCCAGGACTGAACCAGGACTACACCAAGACTAAACTAGCTCTAAACCAGGTCTAAACCAGGACTAAACCAGGACTAAACCACCTGTAAAACAGGACTAAACAGGACAAAACTAGCTATAAACTAGTTCTAAACCAGGACTAAAACAGGACAGAATCAGGACTAAACCAGGACTAAACTAGGACTAAATCAGGACTAAATCAGGTCTAAACCAGGACTAAATCAGGACTAAAACAGGAGGACAAACCCAGGACTGAAGTGGGACTAAAACAGGACTGAACCAGGACTAAATTAGTCTAAACCAGGACCAAACTAGCTCTAATCCAGGACTAAACCAAGACTAAACAAGCCCTAAACCAGGTCTAAACCAGGACTAAACCACCTATAAAACAGGACTAAACCAGGACAAAACTAGATCTAAACCAGGTCTAATCTTGGACTTTGAGGTCTGTTTGTTGTCTCCTGCTTTAGTACAAACTTTTGGTCTTACTTCTTTCTTTTCTCTCTGTGTCTGGGGGGACGTGGAGATCCTCGTGGTCAGCTCCTTCAGCTCGTCTCTCCACTTCTCCGACAGCAGATCTTCACAGAAAATAAACTTTATGACACCGTTTTATTTCCGGGTTGCGTTTTTTTTTAATCTGAAGAAACTCACTGGCTTTGGTTTTGTTCGCGCTCGCCCCGTACACAGTGTGAGACAGAGACGGATCTGGACCTTTCCTCAACATGTTTCCTTTGAGAAGCGGATGAGGGAATAAAGGAGACGCCCCGAACCAGTCGTCTCGAACTGAACAAACCGGACGACCGTTCAGACCTGGAAACGAAAAACAAAAAGGAGGTGAGTTCTTGGGGATATTAAAGAATCTGCGTGTCATTCGTTCATTTGTTTTTCAAAATAAAACCAAAAATAAGAAAACGAAAAACAACGATTTTCTTCATTATTTGTCTCCAAAATCAAAATGAAAAACAGAAAATGATTTATCTTTTCGATTTTCGATTTTGTTTAAATAAATAATGGTGATGCCGGTCTGAACCAGGACTGAACCAGGTCTAAACTAGGACTAAACTAGGTCTAAACCAGGTCTAAACTAGGACTGAACCAGGTCTAAACCAGGACTGAGTGTCGGAGGTGAGCCTGCGTAAACTGTCGAGTGATCAGGACTGAGACCAGGACCAAGACTGGGACCAGGACTGAGACCGAGACTGAAACCATAACCAGACCGGGACCAGACAAAGACTGAGACCAGAACCAGACCAGGAATGAGACCAGGACTGAGACCGGACTGAGACCAGGACTAGGACTGAGACCGGGACTGAGACTAGGACCAGACCAAAATTTAGACCAGGACTGAGACTAGGACCAGACCGGGACCAGGAATGAGACCAGGACCAGACCAGGACCAGACCGGGAACAGACCAGGACTGAAACCGGAACTGATACAGGAACCAGACTGGGACCAGACCAGGACTGAAACCGGAACTGAGACAGGGACTAAACTAGAACTGAGACTAGGACCAGGACTGAGACCGGGACCAGACCAGAACTGAGATCGAGACTGAGACCGGGACTGAGACCAGGACTGAAACCGGGACGGAGACCAGGACCAGGACTGAGACCGGGATTGAGACCGGGACTGAAACTGTGACCAGACCGAGACTGAGACCAGGACTAAGACCGGGACCAGGACCAGGACTGAGATCGAGACTGAGACCGGGACTGAGACCGGGACTGAAACTGGGACTGAGACAGGGACTAAACTAGAACTGAGACTAGGACCAGGACTGAGACCGGGACCAGGATCGGGACCAGGAATGAGACCAGGACCAGACCAGGACCAGACCGGGAACAGACCATGACCAGGACTGAAACTGGGACTGAGACTGGAGCAAGACTGGGGCCAGACCAGGACCAGACCGGGACCAGGACCAGGACTGAGACCGGGACTGAGACCAGGACCAGACCAGAACTGAGATCGAGACTGAGACCGGGACTGAGACCGATACTGAGACCAGGACTGAAACCGGGACGGAGACCAGGACCAGGACTGAGACCGGGACTGAAACTGTGACCAGACCGAGACTGAGACCAGGACTAAGACCGGGACCAGGACCAGGACTGAGATCGGGACTGAGACCGGGACTGAGACCAAGACTGAAACTGGGACTGAGACCAGGACCAAGACTGGGACCAGGACTGAGACCGAGACTGAAACCATGACCAGACCGAGACCAGACCAAGACTGAGACCAGAACCAGACCAGGAATGAGACCAGGACTGAGACCGGGACTGAGACTAGGACCAGACCAAAATTTAGACCAGGACTGAGACTAGGACCAGACCGGGACCAGGCCAGGACCAGACCGGGAACAGACCATGACCAGGACTGAAACTGGGACTGAGACTGGAGCAAGACTGGGGCCAGACCGGGACCAGACCGGGACCAGGACCAGGACTGAGACCGGGACTGAGACCAGGACCAGACCAGAACTGAGATCGAGACTGAGACCGGGATTGAGACCGATACTGAGACCAGGACTGAAACCGGGACGGAGACCAGGACCAGGACTGAGACCGGGATTGAGACCGGGACTGAAACTGTGACCAGACCGAGACTGAGACCAGGACTAAGACCGGGACCAGGACCAGGACTGAGATCGGGACTGAGACCAGGACTGAAACCGAGACAGAGACCAGGACCAGAACTGAGACCAGAACCAGACCGAGACTGAGACCAGGACTACGACCGGGACCAGGACCAGGACTGAGACCGGGACTGAGACCGGGACTGAGACCAAGACTGAAACTGGGACTGAGACCAGGACCAGAACTGAGACCAGAACCAGACCGAGACTGAGTCCGCGACTGAGACCGGGACCGGACTCTCAGCAGGACTGTGACCATTACATTTATTTAATTACAGGTGGGTTTAAAGCTCAAAAATATCTAGAAAAACAACATTCTGAGTGAGCGGGGTCGCCTCTCCACAGATCTGACCTGTAATTTGGTCTGGTTTGGTCTCCATGAAGACAGAAAGGTTTAAAGCCACACTGTGAAACATTCCCGACAAAGCACTAACATGTCCATGGAGAAAAGCAGTTGATGGACCCTCAAAAAAAAAAAAAAAAAAAAAAAAAAAAAGAAAACGTTACACAATGCACCTTTAGTTTAAACAAGAGTCTCTCAAAAAACCTCCGCCAGAAAAGTTACACAATGCACCTTTAATCCAATCCACTTTATTTCTATAGCACATTTCACAAACAAACTGTTTCCAAAGTGCTGCACAAATACATAAAAAATAACAACAATAAGATGATAAAGTGAATTACTAAAACCAGGGGTGTCAAACTCATTTTGGTCCGGGGGTCGTATCCAACCTACTTTGATCCCAAAGGGGCCGGATCAGAAAACTCATGTCATATAAACCCCAAAAATAACAATAAGTTCAAATATTTGTGCAGAGAAACACAAATCTATTACAGAAATCTTTTTTAATTGATGAACTCTTTCTTATTAAAATATTATAATATTATGAACAACCTGAAACTTTAAGAAAAATTCAATTTCAACACAATGTTTTAACATTAACTTGTCTGCAAATAGGAATAAGTCAATTTTTCTTGGAAAATCCTGCACTCGGCTCCACTTTTCTCATGTTGGACATTTTTCTGATGAGGGTGTCACGGTCAACAGTCAAAACGATCGTCCTTTAAGAGCGTTTGGAAAGAGACAAGTCTTCATTTGTGCTGCTCTGGTGGGAGGGGCCACGTACAGAGACGCTGGAGACGCTGCTGTGATAACACCACAGAAAATTAACAAGATTTTAATAGAAAATATAATTAAAATATTTTAGTAGAAAATCACCCAAGGGCCACATTAAAGGTCTTGGTGGGCCGGATCTGGCCCCCGGGCCTTATGTTTGACACCTGTGTACTAAAATAATACTAGTCTTAGAGTAATAAAACTAGTAAAATAATATAAAACCAGTAAAATAAAAATAAAACTATATCATAGAATAGAAATAAATAAACCAATAAATAAATTAGATCAGTAAAACCAATAAAAACACATAAAAATAAATAAAAGACACAGAGGAGCACACGAACTCACACGGTGTTAAAAGCCAGAGGATAAAAGTGGGTCTTCAGACGAGATTTAAAACTCTGCACTGTGGAGCTGCTCGAACGTGAAGCGGCAGATCGTTCCAGAGTTTAGGCCCGACCACAGAGAAGCTCCTGTCCTCCTGGTTTTAAGTCTCGTCTTAGGCCCTGAGCTGGACCTGGACCTCAGAGCGTGTGCAGGGGTATAAATTTGGATGAGGTCTGAGATGTACTGTGGAGCTGGTCCATTCAAAGCTTTAAAAACAAACAATAAAATCTTAAAATCAATTCTAAATTAACAGGGAGCCAGTGCAAAGATGCAAGGATTGGAGTTATATGCTCTTCTCTCCTTTTTGTTCCTGTTAAAAGTCGCGCTGCAGAGTTTTGGATTAACTGTAGTCGGTAAAGTGCGTTTTGCGAAATGCCGGAATAAAGCGCATTACAGTCGTCCAGGCGTGATGAAATAAAAGCGTGCATAACTTGTTCATAACTTTAAATCTCTGGCGTCTGCAGACTCCAGACTCCAGCTGTCAATTAAATCTGACAGTTTTGCCAAAAGCGAAATTTCCCACGGTGTCCTGAACCTGTCGTCTCCCTCGGGTGCTTTTATTCTGGGAGAGGAGAGGAGACATTTAGAGCCCGGTGGACCCAGAGTCATTAGGGACGGGGCAGATAAGAGGAGGGCGCCCGTGAGCACCCGAGGGAGACGCTTTATCTCCCAAATTGTTTTTTATTGTCTCTGGTCTCTTAAGAATGTGAAGAAAGAGTCTTAATGAGAGAAAGAAAGAAAATAATAAATATCCCTGTTTTTCCCCGCTCTGTTTTTAAACTGTAAATCTTAACGTTTTGCTTTGAAGCCTGAGCTGGAGGCAAGTGAAAAGACCTGGGAAATTTACATCACTAATGAAATGAAATGAAATGAAATTTAATTTAATTAGTTTTTTTGCTTATTTGTTTTATTTGTTTGTTTTAGTTTAGTTTTTGGTTTTATTTGTTTTTTGTTTGTTTGTCTTTGGTTTGTTTGTTTTTTGTTTATTTGTTTTTGGTGTGTTTGTTTTTATTTATTTTTTATTTTTTTAGGTTGTTTTTTGTTTTTTTTGTTTTTGTTTTTATTTTGTTCTTTTTTAATAGTTTTTTGTTTGTTTTTGGTTTGTTTTTAGTTTTTAGTTTTAGTTTTTATTTTTGTTTGTTTTTTGGCTTTTTTTTTTTTGGTTTATTTTTTGTTTGTTTTCATTTTAATTTGTTTTTGGTTTGTTTTTTGTTTTGATTTCTTGTTTTTTTGTTTCTTTTTGTTTTTTCTTTGTTTTAGGTTTTTTGTTTGTTTGTTTGTCTTTGGTTTGTTTTTTGTTTATTTGTTTTTGGTGTTTTTTATTTTTATTTTTATTTAGGTTGTTTTTGTTTTGTTTTTTTTTTTATTTTGTTAATAGTTTTTTGTTTTTTGGCTTGTTTTTTTTTTTTTTTTTGGTTTATTTTTGTTTTTCATTTTTATTTATTTTTGGTTTGTTTTTTGTTTTTGATTTCTTTTTGTTTTTTGTTTCTTTTTGGTTTGTTTCTTTGTTTTTTCTTGTTTTTTGTTTGTTTGTCTTTGGTTTATTTTTGTTTTTTTGTTTTTGTTTTTAGTTTTTTTTTGTTTTCTGTTTTTATTTGCTTTTTTTTGGTTTTATTTTTGTTTTTTGTTTTGTTTTTCTTTGTTTTTCTTTTGTTTGTATTTATATA